ACTGTGGACCACAGTCTCCAAAGGAGTGAGGGTGGACAAAACAAATAATAAATTTGATCTCGTGTACATTCCCATTTAATTAAAATTAAATAAGTTAAGCTTCTTACATACTCAGAATTTCTTAATGCATTGAATAATTCTCTTCTTCTGCCTCAGAAAGCAATTACAATTGGATAACAATTTTAGGAGTTCTCTGAAGGCCATGTTCCTTCTTGGAATCACTTGCAGTTCTGTAAGCTTCGGCTCTGCGCTTCTGCCTGAAAGCACCTTCTGATTCCTTCCTTTTCTTCAGGAGCAATCCCGAAAAAATGAGATTTAGAATGTCATGTGGAGACAGGTGCACTGTTTTGAAGAAGGATACAACTAGCACCTGTGTCCATGCAACTCATGCATTCTTGGGTTCAATGCACCAGTTTTTATTGGGGTATACAGGGAGCAGGGAAGAGTCAGTTGGCACCATCCTGCTTTATTTTATTTCTGTGCTCTCATCCCAGAAGTACCCTGCCCTGCACTCATTATTCCTGTATAGGTAGTCCTTGTTTAGTGATCACAACTGGGACCAGCAACTTGGTCGTTAAGCAAAGTGGTCGCTAAGTGAAACATCACACTTTTACAATCTGACTTCAGCTTTCCTTTGCTTTACAGACCTGCAAAGGTCATAAATGCGAGGATTGGTCACAAAGTTACGTTTTCATCACCGTCGTAACTGTGGTCACTAAACAGGATTACCTGTACTGTCAGGTGAATATGGTTCTCTTTAGAGCCAATTCACTCAGGTGAAATTATGTTATGATGCAAGAAGTTCTGGAGACCTAGTTCCTATTAGAATAAGATGAGAATCAGCGTCCTCTCTTTGTATCAGTTCTTAGGAGCCACGTTATGTTGGCCAAGTGATAGGAATTGGCTCAAATATTTGGGAGCTGCTAAGTTATCTGTCACTGGAGTTGACAGTCCCAGGACAGGTGGAAAACTAGTCTCACTGTACAAGGTAAGGCTCCTAAGTAAGTACTCAATAAAAAAGTCTTGCTTTAGTGCACGGTATAAATTTGGGTCAGTGAATTTTAAAGGCCGCACATGGCAGGTTTTATTGAGTTCTCAAAGTCAAATTCAAAGCTGAATCAGTGACTGTGGGATATAGTTAATGCGCAGCTTTTTCAAACTGCTTTGGGCTTCAAAAGTTGGCTTTGTGGCTTATGATGCTCTTATTTCTTTTTTAAAAAGGAGAACTTAATTTGTTTCTGTGTTGGGTGATGCTGTTCTGTAGGCTTTCTTATTTTCAAAACCAGCTTAGTTGTTATTTACCTTTCAAACAATCAAGATAATTACCATTAGGTCTCGAAGTAAAATTGGAAAAATCCAACTCCAAGTGCCTTACGACTCCGTTGGGGCAGTTTTATTTGGGCCTTTTGCATGTTGATGGAAGTCTAATTGCAGTTTTGGCTCTGTGCACACAAAACGAGGCGGCTAATTGTTTAGGCAAATAGATTAATTTAAATATGCATCCCTAATAAAAAAACGCGCAAAAACCAAAATGGCTTCTATGATTGTGTTCACTCCCCTGATGAGGAGCATAAATATTTAGAGGCAGCGCCATTAGATAGCTCCTGAGATTGCTGGTGCTATTTTGCCACGCGGAAGTGCTTCGTAGGCATCAAAATAATCTTTACCAAAGTGCACATAAATAACCCTCTAAATTTGCTGGGATGCTGTATGATTATCCTTCTCTTGGCTTTGCTTTCTTTCAACTGGGGGAAGAAACATTTGCAACCTGACGGGGTGCCAATCCGACGCTGCCTGATGTGGCTTTATGTACCTTTCAGGGAACTCATGACCTCCCTTTATTCAGTCAGGCAGAGACTCTGTAGCCCAACCGTTAACCCATCCTGCGTTTCATTGCGTGAACCCAACCACTGTGTTTTGTAAACCTGCATTGTGCAGGTTGAGCTAGTTCAAGTTTATTCAGTGAACAATGAATTAAAAAGCCCCTGTGCTGGTCTTTGACAGTAATAAAGATTTGATTGGTTGGTTGGTTGATTGGTTGATTGATTGATTGATTGATTGATTAAAAAGCCCTAGCTTGGTGTTATGTTTGATCTAGTCTCTGTGTTGTGTTGGGGGCATGGGGAAAGCCCCAAATGTATCTTGTGGGTGCCAATTGCTGGAGTTGTAGGGCTGGCAGCTGGCTTTCAGTACCATGGAGAGCAGCCTTACAGCAAGCTTTGAGACTTGCGCAGGGCACCCCGATGAAACATTGATGACTTTTCTTCCCTTCTAACAGAGAGATACTTTTCTGGAGACCAGGCGGTCACTCCTGCATAGCAAGCCCTAATTTTCAGCGTTGTTATTGTCATTGAGTAGAATCCAATGTAATAAACAAAGCTAAAACATTTTAAAGCATTCAAATGAGGGCCTTCAACTCCTGCCCCGTTTCTTCCACTGACGGGGTCCTATCTAGCTCATGGCTTGCAGTTCCATCTCTATCCATTTGTCCCAGCGCAATTTTTTATTTCCTAGGAGCCACTCAATGGCTAGTTCTCACTGAGTAAGAGTAGAGAGTTGCTGTTTAGAGCAGTTGATCTATTCACTGTTTTCTATTTAGGACACCGAGATGCAGTTACATTCTTACTGATTTATTGACTCTCAGCAACCTCGTTTCGGCTCCAGTTTCACTGACAATCTCCACCTTTGTTTCTTGTTGATAGATGCTAGATTCGGATCAGGACTGGGTAACACTTTTATCCTGCTACGTTCTAGTCTGTGCCTTCTTTTTCTTTAGAAAGAACAGCTGAATGCAAATGATCCAGTTACGTTCCTCCCTTATCAAGCAACTCTTTACCCATTCCAAATGCCTTTGGCAAGGTGTTGTTTGTTCCCAAAGATGGTATTAGCTGCAGTGGCAGTTCTGTTGGCCAGTAGTAGACAATTACCCGGGGAGGAGGAAGTGTCAGTCTTTCCTAGTAGTAAACTCCCCACTTAATTTCTACTAATTCTAAAGAAAAAAAATCACCATCACCATCTTACCTAGTTCTGAAAAATAGAAACCTGTGTTTCTTATAGTATTAGTCTGCAGGTGACTGACAATGTCTATCAGCCTACCCCAGCTTTAGCCACCAGAAGTTTGAACAATTTGGCCGCATCTCCTTTGAGCAAACTGGTCTTGGTCTGGCTCAATTTGAATTATTGAATCAATTCAGATTTATGTTTGGTTTAAATAGGACATTGGATGCAAATGCAAAAGATTTGATTTTTAAAAAGCCTATTTACACATGTATAACATTCCATCAAATAATATTTGAACTTTTTTCCCCTTGAAATGGCTCTTTATTCATAAATTTGATGCAAGTTTACAGATTACTGTACACTGCTAAATATTTCTGAAGTGAGAAATGAAACTCCCAGTGAAATAAAATTTTAAAAAAGGAAGTCAAGTGTTTACACCTGTCATTCCACTAGTCTATTAGAAGTACTGAACAGTATAATGAATTATTCAAAATTTTAGCCTTGGGTTTTAAAAAGAGATGTAGAAACTGTTATGAATTTGACCTCTGATTTAAGGCTAACAGAATTTGATAAAAACAATAGATACGATCAAGTAAATCAAAAGCTTAGAAGACTTCCAGAGTATTTCCTCAAAGACACAGTTCCACCAGGCCCGTGCCTTCAAATATTATCTCCCAAACTAAAACATGACATCTTTGATCAAATACCTATTTACCAAAAGAAAGTACAGATTTAATATGGGGGGGCGGGGGAGGCCCAGGAATGCTGTGACATTTTGGACTTTTAAAGAAAATGCTTATCCCTTTAGTACAATTCTTGTGAGCAATGCTACACAAATAAAAAAGACATACTTGATTTTTTCAGAAAGGAAAGATAATGATATAGCAGTTACTAACCATCAGCAGTTACAGATCCAAATTAATTTCCTGAAAAGGAAGAGCAGTTTTTGAACAGAAACCATGTTCATTGACTATGGCAACATTTAAAAGAAACAATAGGTCTGAATCAAGGTCTTCCTGGGAACTCTGTTACTTTTCTTTAAAAAAAAATATTTTGATTTTTTAAAAAAATATGGGTTGCCTTCATTTTTGTCAATTGCTTTTAAGTTCACTAATCTACCAAATGATTACAATAATTCATTAACAGATGTGAATGCCTAAAAAAGGTTTCCAATATTTTAAATAAGTTCAGGATTTTTTTTGAAAAATCATATTTGTTGCTTGAGGTTCTAATTGTTAAGCTCTGTGGCAGCCCTCAGTACATAAGAATGATGAACGTACTGTCTTTTTATTGATCATTTTTAATGCTAGAGATCCCTACCACTTATTGGATAACTCACATTTTGTTGGAAGGATTTGTTGAGGAATACAAAAGAAAAATGTGCATTTCTATGAGAGCAAAATGGGATAATTCTCCAAAAAGTTATGGCATAGGAGGTAACAATGAAGTATATATTTGAGAAAAGGCGTAATAAATGTCTATATTATGGCTAGTTTTTTTAAAGTACATCTTAGGTATACAAAATTATCAGAATGAAAAATTAGGGAAAGTTACAGATAGTAGTAAATGCAAGGTTTTTAAAAAAACATACATTAAAAGGCATGATAGAACAAAATTGTACGTGAAAGCTCATAGCGGTGAAACAGATTGAATTTCAACTGATCCACACATCTCAATTCCAAAAATTCGCAAGTTACTTTGGGAAAGTCATCTCAGTGACATAAAGGTGGATGTTCCTCACTCCAGTTTTGGAGTAAACAATATGAATGCAATTCTTCTCTTTCTGCTCTTTGCATTATTATTATTATTATTATTATTATTATTATTATTATTATTATTATTATTATTATTTTAAAATACAAGTTCCATTACATTTGAAGTATTTCAAACAAATAAACTAACTTAGCAAAAGAATAATCAACATTATATGTTATATATAGGGAGAGATGGGTTTGTATACCTCATTCTATTTCCTTCACTCTCATCCTTTTGGTATCCAGGGTCAGTTAAGGTGTGGAGCCTGCTGGTTGGTTCTGAGCCAATCCACCGGTACCAACACAATCAGAAGATTCAAGCAATGGCCCTTTCAACTGACGGGGCCACCATAGCGACTGCATCAGGGTTCCAGGTCAAAGTGGAAAGTGCCAACGACAAGGGATATTGGGGAACCGTTGCAGACTTTGAGATTCAGAAGTGGGTGAGTCTCTTTGTTACTCAGAGAACATCTTTTATCCAGGAGAAGCCCTTTCAATGTGTTGGATGACAACTCCCATCACCTTTGACCAGCCAGTTAAGATCAATATGCTGTTTTGATGATGGAGAAGGGATGCAGGTCAGAATGAAAAAGAAAGGATCAAAGGAGCTTCTCTCAGATGAGTCCAGGTTGTTGGTTCATTTAGCTGAAAAATAGACATGCTGGCTGGTCCGCTGTATCTGGAATATGCCAGGATGGGGACCCTGGGGTAGTACCAAGCTCTCTGCTTTGACAAGCGCTCATTCAGCAAACCTTTCTTCCTCCCATCCCTGCCATATAATACATTTAAGTAGGGGTGTTAGAACTTCTGCCATGTAGATGTTCTACTACTGAGATGCGCCTCTTCCCTGTCATAGATTAAGAGAATTAAAACTCATGAAAGCAAAAGCATTGAAGGGGAAGTACAGTTATTGCAATGTTTTGGGGAGAGGCAGAAAGAAAAATTTGATGGGGAAAAGTATTTGAGGCTCAACACTCTTCCTCTTGAAATCCACCAAATCTTTGCAGGTCAGCTTGGTCTGTCTCGTGCCCCATACTTTGGGCTGCCCAGCTGCAGTGGTAGCAGCAGAGGACACAATCTACTTCTTGAAAGAAGGAGAACCAGCTAAAGTCCTGCATTCTGTCTATGGCCAGCCTGTGACATGCCTGGATGTCTCAGCCAACGAGGTAGCCTTTGGAGTCAGGGGCTTCGGCTGGCTGATTAACGAGACCAACAAGGTACTTAAGACTTTTGGTTCCGTATATTGTTTGACCTTGACTGCTTTCTGATGCATAGATCCTGACATGGATTGATTCAGAGCTATTAAGCAATAGAACAGCCTGCCTTCTGAAGTTATGGGTGCTCCATCACTGGAGGGTTTCAAGAAAGGACTGGACAGCCATTTGTCCAGAATGGGATGAAGATTCCTGCAGTGAGCAGTGGTTGGAGCAGAAGATCTCCAAAGTTCCTTCCAATCCTATATTTGTATGATGTCTACTTAGGGTTGACTAAGTGGTTGACATTGTCTACTTAGGGTTGACATTGTGTTGTGGCATCTTAAGGCAATTGAATTTCGTCGAATGATAGAGTTTGAAGGGCCATTTATGCTGTTCAACCTCTGCTCAATGCTGGAATCCCAACAAAAGCATCAATGGATGGTTGTATAGCCTGTGTCTGAACACATCCAACGAAGGAGAGTTTGTTACCATTTTTCTGGAGAATTGGTTCCACTGTCAAAGTGTTAAAGTTTTTTTTTTTTTTAACTCCCATTTGATTAGAATCTTCTTTTGTGTACTTTAAATTCATTCCTCTGTGCCCCACACTCGGGAATACAGACCTTAACCTTCTTTGGGAGGTTCTGAGGAATAAACCTTGGGGTCTCCTACTTGCAGTGTAGGGTATTCCAGCAGTGAACTGCAGCCTTTCTCCCCGCAAGTCTCCCCATTTTCTTCCCTGGATCTGGAGAAGCGCATGAGTATGCTTGAATACGAGGAAATGGGCAACAAAGTCAGCTTTAGAAATAATCTCCTTTCTTCCTGATGAGTTCCAAGGCTCTCCCTGCCATACTCAAGCCCCTTTTCTCTCGTTCAGATGGATCCTCCTCTTGATCCCAGCCTTTTAAAGGTTGCTAGCTTCCTCAAGCCAGAGCAAAAGGAGGTGGTCCCTTCTGGACAGCTGGAGGCTCTCTAGGGGGAGCTCTTTGCCTTTCGTAAAATAAACCTCTACACCTCCCCCTATAAGAGATCTCAGATACCGAAAATGTCCTGAAACAGCTGAAATGCAACATGCAGATCCCATTGAGGAGACTCGAAAGAATTCAGCCGCCCGTGGAGTCTTCAAAACTTGGTAACTGGAGTGATGAAATGCACGGGGCCTGTTTGGCCCCCTGCATCTCCATGTTCTCCCTGTATACCTGGCAGGTGACAAAATGGGTTCATTTAAATATTGCAGCCGAGAGAGAGAGAGAGAGAGAGAGAGAGAGAGAGAGAGAATTGCCTGAATGGGTCCCAAGTCCTGGCTAATCATAAAGTAGGCAATAATCCTGGGGGGGGGGGTGTCCCTTTTTTTGTCTTTCTAGGTGATTTGGGTGGGT